AAAATGGTGGCACTGTAACCAGGGTTGTACTTCAGTTTATCAGTAACTTCAGTTTATCAGTGACGTCGTTTATCAGTGACGCAATTACACCACCAAAATGGTGGCACTGTAACCAGGTTGTACCGTAACTCCAGTTTATCAGTGACGTGGACATGCAATTACACCAAAATGGTGGCACTGTAACCAGGTTGTACTGTAACTTCAGTCTATCAGTGACGTACTGTAACTTCAGTCTATCGTTCACATGCAATTACACCAGAATGGGGGCACTGTAACCAGGTTGTACTGTAACTTCAGTTTATCAGTGACGTTGACATGCAATTATACCAGAATGGTGGCACTGTAACCAGGTTGTACTGTAACTTCAGTTTATCAGCGACGTGGACATGGAGTTACAGCAGAAGGGTGGCACTGTTATCAGGTTGTACTGTAACTTCAGTTTATCAGTGACGTGGACATGCAATTATACCAGAATGGTGGCACTGTAACCAGGTTGTATTGTAACTTCAGTTTATCAGCGACGTGGACATGGAGTTACAGCAGAAGGGTGGCACTGTAACCAGGTTGTACTGTAACTTCAGTTTATCAGCGACGTTCACATGCTATTACAAGAGCGGACATATTTTCTCGTGGTGATTACACAACACTTGAGATGTGTTGCCAGCAGTGTTATACCCTTCATGTCATGGACAACCTGGTGGTAGTATTGTATTCCATACACAGAGAAATTGATTCTTGGTTTGTTTAGTTGACAACCGCTGGGAGCAGGTATGTGCTATTGTGCGAATGCATGTTGTTTCTGCAGTTTTGAAATTAATATCAGAATTATGGTGAAACTGACGAGGTCGTTGAAGATGTTGACGTTGAGGCGAGATTGGTATCACAGGAAGGTGTCTGTACTGGAGGCGTGCTTTATGGGCCCGAGGAAAAATAAACAATGAACAGTAAGAGATTTCCTGTCATACATAATTCTACCACAGCGCAAACACGACAATGCCCTATTTTGGGAGTGACACCATATAAAGAATGACTTCCTGAAGGCCGATTTGGACACTCTGCATAATTACACCGTGTATGATGCGCTCAACATACAGGTCAAAGCACACTCTTCGTAGGAGAATCGTGAGACGTGCAGTTGGAGGCGTGTTATCAAATGTGGCCTGCAGAAATACAATCTCGCACGTGAACAACAATCGTCATTTTATCGAATTCTCATTCAGTACAAATTGTCTGTTAATTATGAAATGAGTAGTGTCTACGCTGCATGATGCCACATTTATGTTTAGGCGGCAGACATTATGAAGCTTAAATTTGATCTTAAATATGCCTGGAAATTCCTTTGACAGCGTCTGTAATCGGTGGCCGTAGCGCACAGATATTTAAAATAGGTGCCTGATGTAATGAATAAAAATTTAAAAAATAGTGATTAAAATATTGAAGGAAGGACTGTCATATGGGTTACAGCTGAAGTATTGTAGTTCCAGACTTCTCGTAGACCTTAAACGCACTGATTTCTCTGTTACAAATCATGTTTGATAATTTTCCACTGATAACCGATTCATCACCACTGTTTTGTTGGCAGTATAATACCGAATTTGGATACCTGTCGGAAGCGTGAAACAAAAGCCTGTATTTCTTTACATTGGACTTAATCATTTCATGGTACCACGATGCATATTATATTGATGTCGCCAGTATTCATGACATGTATGCACCAAGCGAATCAAACCAACCGAGACCGACTTGGGCTAATGCTTCATTTCCCAACATATTCAGACCTACGAAAGATGATTCATGATCAATATCTGATCCATGTGTTCTGACACATAAATCTCTGTCTTGTACTGACATGTAATCAATGGCAACATTTTCTAACATGACTGCCATATTATTATAAGGCCCACTTAAAACAGCAACCTTGTAGCTGCCTCACAATCGCTTAATCAGATCCACTTTCTGACTTCCTTCCTACCAGGCGTCTGTGCAAAACCCCATCCAGGCTCGCATACATTCTTCCTACCAGGTCCATAAACAGAAACATTTCACAGGATCACACAGGTATGACGATCTCCTTTCAAGGCGCGCATACATATCTCATTTCCAGGTCCACATGCATCCACATACATATAACTATCTCCTTACCAGGTTCACGTACATACAACGATCTCCTGACACATCCGTGAATTCGTATCAACCGAGTTCGAGACATTGGGGTTCGACTGTATAAGAGCTTTCCGTACAACAAAGTACTTTGGATAATGTCCATCAAAGCCTACCAGTGGCGTCACAACATGCCTGAGGTCAGTGTGAATACTTTTACTTTATGAATTAGTGGTTATCCCATGGAGTCTAGAGAAATGCAGAACTGTTCGTAAGATCACGGGCATTTGTAAGAAAAATCTGCAACAATACTAAAAAAGACGAACCCTTCCTCTAACAAGTACAACATTGAAGATAACGAGCCAATATTCTCCTGACAGCACTGCTGATGAAGACGATCACTTCCACCGTTCTCTCCGTTACAAATCTTATAAAGGTGGTCATTCGTTGTCCAGCCTACAATACTGATAAAGACGATCACTTCTACCGTTTTCTCCGTTACAAATCTGATAAAGGTGGTCATTCGTTGTCCAGCAATCAATACTGATAAAGACGATCACTTCCACCGCTCTCTCCGTTACAAATCTGATAAAGGTGGTCATTCGTTGTCCAGCCTACAATACTGATAAAGACGATCACTTCTACCGTTCTCTCCGTTACAAATCTGATAAAGGTGGTCATTCGTTGTCCAGCAAACAATACTGATGAAGACGATCACTTGTTATCAATGAGGGAGATGGGAGCTGGTAGGAGACTTCTATGACACTATACATGATACAAGTGTTTTCATTTCAAACTACGTTTGCTCAGGTTTAACACCACGTTAAAGAGACATTCCATCTGTATAAAGTCAGCTGTGTGAGTGAGTGAGTTTAGTTTTACGCCGCATTCAGCAATATTCCAGCTATATGGCGGCGGTCTGTAAATAATCGAGTCTGGACCAGACAATCCAGTGATCAACAGCATGAGCATCGATCTGCGCGACTGGGAACTGATGACATGTGTCAACCAAGCCAGCGAGCCTGACCACCCGATCCCGTTAGTTACCTCTTACGACAGCATGGGTTACTGAAGGTTCACTCTAACCCGGACCTGTATGTATGTACGACACGCAGTAAGTCTTCGTAGAATCACTCGCATTTGACATATTTCACTGGCCAAGAACAGACATAATAACTAAACCCTCATCATCGACCCACTATATCTGGTGACGGATGAACAGCCACAAGTGGGCCCTTCAACGTTGGATAATCACCAGTCGCCAACGCTGTGTCTAGAAGCACATATTATTGAAGTCTGGAATTACGGGGATTGGAGCACTTGCTCGTCACGACAAGGCGGCAGGGGTTCTATTCCCCGTATGAGTACAAGGTCTTTTCATGGTGAACACTACCTCACCTATTTGGAGTTATGCATGGTATTTACTTAAAATACACAGTGAGACAGTGATGACTGATATAATAATCGTCTTTAGATTCTATTGTTATGTTATCTTATGTTGTGTGACATGCTATCCAACCCGCTGCAATACCGTGGTTTATACAGACCCGTGTGCTTGTGGTGCTAATGTGGGCAGTGTGTAATCCAGTATAGTGTCGATATATCATGCACTGTTCCACCACGCTAGCTGTAGAAAGAATGGCAGCAGGGATGTTGGCATTGTCAGGTAGTACAACATGGTGGCGCATGGTGCCGTAATGTGTTTGATATCGGCTACACCACATGGTTTCAGGAACTAATTCGAAAAATGTATTTTTTCACCTGGTTTATTATCGACAGTGGTTTTGGGTACTTCTGCATGTTACAAGTAAAAGTCCTAGTTTCTCACCTGACATAAGAATACCACTTTTTCTCTTCTATATAGATTCTTGCTTAGAAGAAATGCTACTTTCTAACCGAAAGCCGTTGTAGTTTATACCACACATTTCTGAGTTGACATATCAGTGACAAAAATAATTCCCTATTTTGATTTGCACACGCGTTTCTGTGTATTATTTAAGGTGAACACTAGACCTGCCCATGCGGATGTTAGTATCAAGAATTTATTACCTACGAGGGCGAACATATCGGGCTTCATATTTTCATACGATGCCCTAGGGCAAAATATAACTTTGCCATGGTGACGTGATGTCATGAACAATGCTATGACGTCACGTTTCTTCTGTGACGTTGTGTTCTACATGCCGCGACGGCGGGTAGAGAGCCTATGTGTGAAAGTAGAGTTGGGTTATTTTCCTCAATTTGACGACTTCGGTAATAAATAGAATATTATATTCGTGCCCATATCATACTGTGTTTACGACACTCGTGCCTAAATATCGGTATATCCCTCGCCGTCGCTCGGGAAATACCTACATTTAGGCACTCGTGTCGTAAACATAGTATGACATGGGCACTCATATAATATCCTCTATTTATGTTGTAGTTTCCAAAAGTATACTCTCTCTTTGTAAATGACCCCTGAACCAGCAATATTTCGCATTGGAAGGGAAATCCTTCCCTAATGATGTATCATGATCGATAGCTTCATCATGATCGATAGCTTCAGCATCATCGATAGCTTCATCATCATCGATAGCTTCATCAAATATTTCCTTTGTTTCATTCATATCATTATCGCCGCTATTTAGACTTTTACGACAAATCGAGTATGTTGCAGTAATAGAGACTGGTTATTCTCTGGCTTTGAGGTTTAATATTTTCTCAGTACAAATCAGTCAACCCTCATTTGTGCAAGTCATGTTAGCTTACGGGGATCAAGTACGCCATGATCCCACTTACCATTCCTCGATACTAGTAAGGTCTTTACATTTAAAATTAGTGAGAATATGAATAAGAATATTTGATTCAGTGGGAACTGATTAGCGACATAACGTTAAGTTTAGAACAACACGCCTTACCTGTACTTGGTATTTACTTCAAACCTGCCAGTCACATAGGCGAGAAACCTTTCTACTTATTACCATCTGTGCAGGAATTCAGGGAGTTGGCAGCAAATACTAGAGCAGGAGTTCGTGTTGTCCAATCTGTATTACGCAGTCAGTGGAAATCACTAATTGATTAGTAGTGTTCCTGCCTGCGTGTGCTCAGCGGGTAGGCGACACAGCTCTCACTGTATATCAGTATCGATATTGATCTTGTCTGATTGCTTCTCTCACAGACTTGGCAATACACATTATCCTTCTAAAGAATTTGAAATGAATTAAGAATTGAATATAGGATAGGTGTTATAAGGTGATTTCCAAATTGAAGAAGGAAGTCAGAAAATATGTACGCACTGAAAATGTGAAATCAGTAAATGCCAATACACGATGGCTGAATATCAACAACCTATATTCTGACATACAGTTTCAGTTGTACAGTAACAAGGTAATGCAACGGGTCAGCAGACATAAGTACATGAAGTAACCGGCTATAGAAGTAATGTAAGTTGATTGGCCACAATTTTGTCACTGTCGAATGTTTTGAATACGTCCCTCGGCTTTCTTGAATCGGGAATGGTGTTAGAGTGAGTGAGTGAGTTGGGTTTTACGCCGCTTTTATCAATATTCCAGCAATATCACGGTGGGGGACACTAGAAATGGGCTTCACATATTGTACCCATGTGGGGAATCGAATCCGGGTCTTCGGCGTGACGAGCGAACGCTATAACCACTAGGTTACCCCACCGCCCCGAATAGCGTTAGAAGCAGACGGGGCTATTTTCTTTGCAAGTCGATCAGGCAAAGCTCCGGTCGAAAAAGGCCTACTGCTTCCCACCACTAGATCATGTATTAGTACAGCCAGCCTTCCAGAACGTGAACCACACAGAACATTCTCGCACGATAAAACCTGTCATGTTTGTGAGTAACCGTCAAGGGCAGTTGCTCTTATTCAGCCATGCCGTCACTGACAATCACTACGACTTGAACGACAACAATTTATACTGCCAGATAACATAAGGTCACTATATTTAATTACGTCGGGGATCAGCCTGGGTCAGTATGTGAGGTGAGGTGAAAATGGGTTTAACGTCGTGCTTGAGAATATTTCGCTCATATGACGACGTGCTTGCGTGTGTATGTGTATGTGCGGCTGCTTGTACTAGCCCAGACTAAAGCTGATTTTATAGTGCTAGCCCACTGAGATACCATGCCGCAGTGGAGCATGAATACCCCACTCAGACACATTATACTGACTCCGAGGCGACCAGTCCTTGTTGTACCCATTAATGCCGAGCGGCAGGCAGGGACCAACAAGTACCATATTTTAGCGTCTTTTGGTATGATGCGGTCGGGGATAGAACCCACGACCTTCCGCTCTCCGGGCGGACGCTCTAACCACTACACCACGGAGGCAGTTGGGCCAATATGTATAACTTGTATAACAATCACTGCTGGAATTGTTGCCCTGGGGCTCCTTTCACAAAGCAACTTTACTAAGGTTAACCTTAACTCCCATTCTTTCCACTAAGGTTACCTTAGTGACTTACGATCACCTTAGTGCTTTGTGAAAGGAGGCCCTGGAGTCCGTTGTACAAAGCAATGTTAGCGCTAGGGTGACCGTAACTCCCATACCTTAACATAGACTTAAGGTAGTGTTAGCGCTAAGGTTGTTTTGTACAACGGCACCCAGGTCAGTATTGTATACGTAGCTGGTGCAATACCCGGAATGACACTCTCTGAAAACATTCCACTTGAGAGTTGTCCTTAACGATTAATACCTGATACACATACCCTGACGCTGGCATCCACATAGAACGTGCACGAGTGTGCTGATAGTTGAATGCTGTAGAATAAATACGCTGTGTACAGTGCTGCGGCGTCCGTGTTTTACAGTAAAACTACAGCCAGTTGTAACAGTTTGGTTGAGGTGTATAAGTCCTCATTTCTCAGATATAAAAAAATACATTTAAGTCTAAATGAAGTAAATGAACTCAACATATCCATTAAATCTCTAGCTACGTATCTTTGCTTTCAAGTTTATTTATTGCGCCGTGACTGCATGTACTCACCACGATTATGCCTCACCCCAAATACCCCGTTCAGTTGATGCTTAACTTACCCTATTCTGTCGCAATTTATTCATTTTTTCTTAATATCATGAGCTCTTTCGTAGGAGGTAATGAATAATGGAGAACTAAACGCATGATATATGACGAATCTAAGGTATTTATTCACGATTAATTGAAGGGCCAGTAGGCTTGAAGTCGATATTACATTATATTGAAAAACTTACCGCCATTGGTTATGTTTTTTGCCAGGTATAAAGTGGTTTTGGGTTGTTGATATGAAGTTCTATTTTAGTGCTGTACACATATTCATATGTTAGAGGATTGACTTGACGTAAGCGTCAATACTGAATTCTAAACTTCTTTCGGTAATCGAAATCCATTATTCTGTTCGATGGGCGTTAATACCCTGCACTCAAAGAGAGTGTTGCCTGACCATATACAACTAGGTTTTTGTCCCCTCTATTAACACACAGGCATCAGTTTATAACAAGGCAATGTATGTAATGCAGATATACCGACAGTGTGCATAGGTTTTTTTTAGAAATCTGACCCTAACGAGTGTGACGAAAGCACACCTAGAACATTGCTGTGTCGTTTTTACCTACTGTGAGGCATATTGAGAAAAGCAGTCAAAAGGCATTGTCAACCAGTAGAGAATGTTGTACGATAAACAGAACACTACCACGTCTATAATGTATGTGGACATTTGTTCACCCACAGTCACCTCGGACTGCTTTTATTGTAGTTCCCACAGTTATCCCCGTGACGGCTCTGACAGAATGTATGTATAATTATATTGGCATCCAACTTGAACAATCAGAGGGTGTTGCTGCCTAACCGGTCTGGGCGTTAACGTCGCCACACAAGTAGTAGTCTGGCACCAACAGTTGACGAGACATTAAACCAATCGACTGATTGTGTTTATGCAGAATTAATGACACTCTAGATACAGGCAGATACTATAAACTAGTTGCAATATTATGCAAGTTTGTAATTGGAACATGCACAAAGATTCGAGTGTGTATGCACAGAACAAAGCTTAGTGGACGTTAACCACCTTCAATGAAACACGTTACTGGGGCGACATGGCCATGTTGAATACCGAACGAATAAAGTCAGCTCATTGTGACTGCTTCCGTCGTCTATAGAGGAAATGGTATCTACTTAGCAGACACAGGCTGCAGGACACGGTGACCCAGCACGACATTACGAACACAACAGCAAACACCACATCCACCACAAGAACAACACAAAAAATACTAAAAGAGAAAAAGTAGAAAAAGTAGAAAAAAAACATTCACCAGAGGATAACAAACCTTCATTATATGTATTATTTATATTTAATTATGATGGTACATCCAGCTTCTTAATGCCTCAGCCCGGTAGCTATCCTAATATTTATGGACTTTAAAATTCGGAGCCGAGAAAGCGATATCACGAGACGAGAAACGATAACACAAGACGAGAAAGCGATAACACGAGACGAGAAAGCGATAACACGAGACGAGAAAGCGATAACACGAGACGAGAAAGCGATAACGCGAGACGAGAAAGCGATAACACGAGACGAGAAAGCGATATCACGAGACGAGAAACGATAACACAAGACGAGAAAGCGATAACACGAGACGAGAAAGCGATAACACGAGACGAGAAAGCGATAAAGCGATAGAGTGATAGAGCGAGAAAGCGATATACCAAGGCGAGAAAGCGATAGAGCGAAAAAGCGATATACAAAGGCGAGAAAGCGATAGAACGAGAAAGCGAGAAAGCAATAGAGCGAGAAAGCGAGAAAGCGATAGAGCGAGAAAGCGATAACTCACATAATTCTGCCCTGTCTGCACATGACGTCTTGCCTGCGTATAATAGGAGGCTTTATAGTCATTTGGTTTAGTCGTATAGAAACAAAATGAACATGCTTTCAAATTCTGTGGCATTTTTGTAATTAATCCTTTAACTTGTCCAAACAATAATCCAACAATAACTCCAGAAACCGAGTGTGTTTTCGTTGAAATAAATGAGTGCTCTTAAAAAGTCTGTAAAAAGGGCTGGATAACAATAATTTAATTTATTGTTACATCACTAATTAGGCTTGGATTAATTCCTGGCTTACATTTCTTTATTGTCATTTCCCTTGTTAAATGCCACCATTGTTATTTCATTATTCATGCCGGGATTAACAATGCCTGGCTTCCATTTGTCCATCCACCCTACCAATTAAGCGCTAATTAATTAGTACTGGCTTCCCTTGTTATCTTATCACTGTTGTTTCAAATGTACGTCTTTAGCTTTCTGTTTCCTAGTTTCTAGTCTCTTCATTCACCCGAAGAATATACTCCGTAACATCGTGTTCCAGTTCCACAAATACAGAAGTTGACATCCATACATTCTCTTAAATACCTTTAGGTATTTTATGAGTCCTCTTTTATGAGCCCTGTTTTTCACTGGGCTAAGCTACACATTTGCTTACTCCCCATGTCACCCGTGAAAACCGGGTTAGCTTGGTCTTCAGCAACTCATGCTTGTCGTAAAAGGTGACTAACGGGATCGGGTGGTCAGGCTCGCTGACTTGGTTGACAATGTCATCGTAACCCAACTGCGTAGATCGATGCTCATGATGTTGATCACTGTATTGTCTGGTCCAGACTCGATTATTTACAGACCGCCGCCATATAGCTGTAATATTACCGGGTGCGGTGTTAAACAACAGACCAACCAAACCAACTTCCCGTCGGGCTTTATTGTATCAGTGATGGAATTTTATACACCCTGTGCCTTTCATCTGGTCTTCTTATGTGTGCATATTTAACACATATATATTTCTACTATTATGTGAAAAAGGTATTGTTCTAAATGTATGTGCCATAGTCTCTCATATTTCTACAAGAATTGCTTGTGTACATACGTATATGTCTGTCTGTCCCCATATCCCAACTATCGACTTGAGACAGTGCCACAATTCATCGGCCGACGTGGTAGGTGTGTTTAA